TCTTTATGTTTGTTTTTCAAGTGTGTGTGGGAAGACTACAGCTTAATGGAATATCTTGAGCCAATAACTGACATTTTTAAGACTTTCTTTTTACCTCAGAGAAGATCAGAATAGCATCAGGATGTTGCTTCATATGAGCAATCTATGTGGAAGTGAAAAATGGTTTACTGAGAACAAAAAAATGCGGCCTTTTTTCAGCTCGAACCTTTACTCCTGTGAGTCTCAGAAAAGAAGCACCTAGGCAAAGAGGCTTTGTGTGGACCCCAACCTGAGGACTTACAACAAGCTTTGAGTGCTTGTACTTCTAATTCAGTCTGTAAGGGAAACAGATATGAGAGGATGGGATGGGATGGGATGGGATGGGATGGGATGGGATGGGATGGGATGGGANGGGATGGGATGGGATGGGATGGGATGGGATGGGATGGAAATTTCTGCTAGGGTTCTCAGGTGTGGTGTTACTTGACTGAGATGGAAATTTCCTGTGGCTGTCATTTAGTGGATTGCACACTAACCAAGCAAACTGACCTCTTTCTATGCTTGGTGCTGGTGTTTACTTTGAGCATGGAGCAAATGGGAAATATTGTCAGCTGCTCCTGTTCTTCCAGCTGCTTTGCCACAGGGCATTTCTCCCTCGACATCTGATAGCTCTCATGTTTATTCTCACTAGCATCAGTAGCAGCTTACTGCCCACCTTCCCTGTGTGCTGCCTGCAGCAGGTGGGACACTGGTGATACCTTGAGGTTCCTTCTGCACCCACCTGGCAAAGGAGCAGCTAAACAAGAAGCCAGAGGGGCCCGTGCTCTCCTCCTCCATGCACAGGAACACTTTCTCCTCTGTGGAGCTTCTCAGTTGTAGACATGTGGTGCAGCTGCCTGCTTTGGCATACACTTCTTTATCTGTCACAAAATGAGTTTGAGAGTATGGGCACAGTAAGTATTAATTGCTCCTGGATGAATTTGTATTTTTGAGGAGGGCAGAGGGAGAACTAGCATTTGATTAAAAGAGAAAGAGAAGGTTAAAAACCAGATCTATTTTATTTTTTCAAAATTTTTCTGTTCCTTTTGACATGTTCTGATGGTTAAGAGAACATCTCTAGAAAAGATATCAAATAATACCTCCCTCAAATTCTTAGCTCTCGCATTTTGTTTCAAATTATTTTCCTAATACCAGTCATCAAGAAAAATGTTTGTACTCTCTCTAACCTCAGTACTAGATAATTTATTTTATTTAACATTTAGATCCTAGAGAATCATGTAACTCTTAGTCCCCCCAAATAACAGTATTTGAATTGACTATTGAATGTTTCTGAAATTATGTTAATTAAGATATTAGCTATTTAATGTTAAGAATGATACTAAGCTTTTGGGATGACTCTGGTTGTAATTGCAAGTTGAATACTTCCCTTTAAAAACACTAAATAAAAATATACTGATTTTTTAATAATCTGAACAGCTTCAGAATTGACATGTTTTCCAAATAAGGTATCAGACCTGCCTTTGTAATTTCTTCTCTAACTTCTTTATGACCCTGTGGACCCTAAACCTATACCCAGAGCTTATTAGTCCAGAGCAAAAGTCAAACTTTGTTATAAGCAGAAAAAAAAAAAAAAAAAAAAAAAAAAAAAAAAAAAAAAAAAAAAAAAAAAAAAAAAAAAAAAAAAAAAAAAAGGGAAAAGAAAAAAAAGAAAACTCTTAATAGCTGAAGCACTTTTATCATTTTCACTCCTTGGAGCAACAAGGCTGAGTTTTGGAATATCAAGTCAAGGCTGTTTGGTAAAGTATGATGCTGCCAACATCTTCTTGGAGGATAGGGACAGACTCAATGGAAAATGGCCCTGCAGAATTACATCACAAACAACAGCTCAGTATCCATGCTAAATTCAGTGAATCTGAAATTAAAGACATAATGGTGTGCTTTACCCTCCAATCAGTGAGCTATTTAGAAGGTGAAGAGATGTGCTTATACAAAAAAACAAAAAAACAAACAAACAAAAAAAAAAACCAAAACCAATCCAAAAAACCCCAAAAAACAAAACCAAAAGAACAAAAAGCAAGGGAACTTGCAACCCTCATAATACAAGGAAACTCGTTATGAGGTTTCTTACATTTTTTGTGCTGCCAGCCACTTTAACCTATTTCTCAGCTGGGTTAGAAAATGTATCCTAATAACAGCAAACCAGGTAGGGGGTGGGAGTAAAGTATACTTACTCTAGTTAATAAATTAAGTCTGCTACAGAGATTTTTTTTTTTTTAGCACTGACAGATTTTTGGTATCCTCTTTATAACAACAATAGAAGACAAACAAAAATCTCTCTGTGCTAGACTATCAACAAGTACAAAATCATTCAGAAGTGTATTAGACATACAGGGACATATTTGTGTTGCTGATCTGTCTGGATGGCCTCCAAAAAAGCCAGTTGCTTGATGTAGGTCAGCCAGAGTACAGAGCTTTGCATGACAAAAGAAACCACAACACAGTCAAAAAGCAAGTGGGTATTTTGCCCTTTATTCTCCATTGGCCGTTCTATTTTTGAGATTACTTTACTGCTGTGGTTTTTCTCCTTCTTTGGATTTTAACTAAATTCTCCTTAGGCTTACTAGCTTGAAATTTTCTTCTTATTATTTTTTCTTTTTTTTTTTTTTTTTTTTTTTTTTTTTTTTTTTTTTTTTTTTTTTTTTTTTTTTTTTTTTTTTTTTTTAGTGTAAAAATGAAGGAACCCTTTTTACTAGGCCACTTTTCCCAAATCTCACTGCTCTATCTATAATTTAAATGAGTAATTAATGCACAATATCCAAATAAATCTTTGTGAATTTTGATCAGGCGGGTATAACAAGGTTTCTGACAGTTATGGAACTGATTATCACCCATTATGTAAAATACACATGGTTTTCACAGCTGTGCAGAAATAGAAAAATCTTAGTTTGCATCTAAGCCTAACAGTATTGAACTCTGAAACAGATCATATTGAAAGTGATGTTGGCTGCCAGGTGAGAACTGGGTCCCCACTAAAATCCAGAAGGCATTTTGCTGTTCTTTCCTTGCAGCCAAGATTTCAGTTTGTCACAGACTGCAAATATTAATTCATTTTCTCTTTGTTTTTCCAGTTTTTTTTCTCCCACATAAATCAATCTTGCACTCATTCAGATTTATTATATTTACTTTTAAATCATACTGTTGTAACTGAGAACAGAATCAGACCCAGCAATGCATTTTGCCTTCAAAATAATTAGCTGCATTCTATACAGTCTCCCATTTCTTTCCAGCTATATATGCTCTCTGGAGAATCTATATACTGAATTTACACAAACTGTGTAACAAGAGTCCTTTTATAACATGGACTAGCATGATTAGAGAGAGCCATATAGAGACAGAGCACCACACTTGGATAATTCACGTGCATAGAATCCACATACAGACCCAAAGTTATTGACCAGGCAGAGAAAGTTTTTCTGATCATCACACTGTGCCTTTTTTAAAATAAAGTGCTATTTGCTTATGGCTAAACCTTATATGTGGCTATTGCATGCACATTTCAGGCTGCATTGTCAAAAACCAAAACACCTTCACCAAAAACGATGGAGCCTAAGCACTAGGGCAATGACAATTTTTGTTGGTTTTGGTTTGTTTGCTTTGTTTGTTTCCATTTTATTTTGCATTCCAATTGAATTTTTGTCAAACATAGAGCATGTGAACACACAACACTTTCCTTTACTGTTTCCCACAATGAGCTGTTCACAGAAGAGGAGTGCTAAGGAGGAATGTTTCTAAAGCCACAGAAAATTTCCTCAAACTTATTTCAGGTTTTGTCATGTGTTTCTCTTTGTTTTTTCTTATGCTCAATATTATGACAAAACAGTATAAGAAAACCTTCCTTTAAGTAGTGAGAATATCAAATAGTATTCGTCAATCCCTGAATCATGCTATTCAAAGTGCTTAAATCTAAAAATAGAAGAACAGAAAAGTACTTCCCATGTGGCTAAGGAAAGATCTATCCATTGGCTAATTGTGATTGTGGTCAAATAATTGCATCCTACATTTATTTCATATCCCAGTCTTTACACCAGGGCATGTAAAGGGAAAAAAATAATGAATTTATTTCAGAGGATCCTGGGGTATTTAGGACTGTTGTGGTTTAAGCCCAGATGGAAATTAAACACCACACTGCCACTCAATCAACCCTTCCCCTTCTCCCCCTTCTCAGCCCAGTGAAAGCCAGGACAGGCATCCAAATGAATGAAGGAAAATGCCATCAGTGCCTGACAGGTGTCTGTAAGAGCAAATAAATAATAGCTTTCTTAAAGCAAATGTGCAAAATTCTCTTAAAATGTTATGTGACCTGGCAGCCTAATTTCCATTTTGTGGATGTTTGGCACATATCCAGAGACACTATAATAAAGAACGGGTTGTAGAAAAGCACTTGAGCTAAACCTCAGAGAAATAAACATTTTAAGCAAATAAAAGTGCACGCCTCAAAGGTCTATTAGCTTCTTATGCAGATACTGAGATTTCTTGACTTTCACAACAGAAGCATAGTCATTTCCTCCCACACTGTCAGTTCTGGATTGCTCCCACATATATCCCCCAAACTGCAGCTTCTCCACTCACTTCTCATTAAGAAGACCAAAATATTATAAGCTCTACTTTTCTTGCTGTGACAATTATGATGAACAAACCCCCAAAACATTCATTATACTGGCCAATATCATTCAGCTGTCAGAAAAACACCTAAAGCTAATTAATTACATAAATAGACTCTCAAGCCTGTTTGCCAGGACACCAGTTACAATTCTGCCAGGGTAAATCAAACCCATGGCTCTATGACAGTGTGCTACAACCAGAACTCCTCTGCTTCTGCCAGCAGGGACTAGCAGAGAGCTTGGCCTGAATATGTTGCAGAACTGTACCACTTCTCTCTCCTTCTAAAACCAGAAAGGACTTTCTGTTATTTAAAACATAAGTATGAGCAAGGTGCTTATTTAATTTGTCTCAAAGATGTCTGGGTGTAAACACAGTGGTGGGCTTTTATTCTTCCCTGTCAGCCGTGGTACATGCATTATTTGCAACTCCTCAAAGATGGAATCATACATAAAAATAAAACTAATTTATTTATTCATTAAAGTGAATAAATTGTTTTTAATACTTCCAGGTCTGATTTAAATATTAATTTTGTATAAATAAAGTTTATTCTGAAAACAGTTATATTTCTGGTAATCATGTCATTTTTTTCTGCCTGAGTTCTTACTGAAATCATGTTGAAATTAATAAAGTTTTATTTATTGTTACAAGCTAAAATCAAATGAAAGAAGATTTCTTAATCTTGAATATATAATTTTAAAGCAAATACAGTTTTTGGAACATTAAAATACAAGGGACTCTGAAATCCACAGGAAAATAATGTTTTGCTCTTGCTTTTTTTTTTTTTTGAAAATAACACTTTCTATAATACAAAGTGACAAACCATCTACAATACTGTCTTTTTTATTCCCCTTTGGTTTGGAAGTCATCACTGTACATACCAGCAGGACTCTGCATTTCAGTGTCTATTGCCTCACTTGTCTTACTTGCCTGACATTTGCAAATGTTATTTGCAAGATTTTGAAAGTTGAGAAAGAAAAAAAATGAGTGATTAAAAAATAAAATCCACAACCACATTAATACTTTTCCAGGACGTGTTAAAAATAAGGTTGCTTTTATATTTATAAAAGGGATACAACCAACTCATTCTTAAAATTAGAATTAAGAAAAAAAACAAACCCAAGAAAGCAAAAACCAAACCGGCTATAGTTTCTACACACTCTAGTGACTACTGTGAAGCAACCAATACAGATTGGGTATTTTCTCTTGTTTGACAGGTATCTACCAAGTTACATGTTAGATGGTCAGACTGTAGTGTTACCCCAAATGGGGGTCTTTGTAAGGGCAGGGAAGGAGCAGTGCACATTACGAGAGTAGAAATGAAACTGGAGCTCTCAGTGAGCAGTGGGGTCCTTCTAAGAACAAGAACTCTCCAAAAGAGGTGAGCTGCAGCAGGCATGGCTTGGCAGGCCAACAAAATGGATGGTGCTTCTGATATCAACATAGCTTTGTCCAAGCATTCCCAAGAGAGGTTATAAACAAACAAACAAAAAGTCTAAAACTATACTAATGAAGCAAAAAAGTTTCCTATCTATACAGCAGTCTCTTCATTTAAAAAAAATGTAAATATACAAATTCCAATGACATATAAAACAAAGTCAAAAATGTGAATGGGAAGAGACATGGGTAAAACAGGAAGACTGATGCTACAAAGAAATTGCAAAAACATATGTACAAGACCCTGTTTTTCCTCGTTTGTTATCGATTGTAATGCATGTTTAACAGCAGCAGTCGAGGATGTAGTTCCAGGCACCAGACTGCAGACTCTGCTCCTACTCAAGGGGGTTGACAGCCCCTTGCATGTCGGTCACCAAATGACACTTGATATACTGGTCTCCCGTGGCAAGAGGGGCAGTATGGCACTGTTTGTGTGAGCCTCTTCGGGGTTCTGCTCCCTGTTAGTTTTTGTCTGCGGCCGCTGCCCGTTTATAAGTGTCATGGGGATGTTGCAGTAGGTGTGCTGGTTACCTATTGAGGTAAGTGGCAGGGTGCCGGCAGGAGGTACATCGTATTCATAGCTCCGGTAATAGTGTTTCTGGCGCATCTGTGAATGATATGTGTTATGAAAGGTGGAGCGCAGGTCTGGATGGGCAGTGGCAAGAGCAGTGGAGGTGGCAGCAGCCATGGAAATTGCGGAGACTGTCTGCAGTTCCCCAAAGGGCCCCTGCTCACTGACATCTAAAACCTGCTCGTTTGTCATGGGTTCAATCCTCTTAAAAGGCATTTCGTACTGTAAACGTTTCCAGAACTTGGAATTCAACTTGTTGCATTTTGGTCCGTGCCATTTAATGACAGTGAGGAGCTTGATGGTATGTTTTAGGGCCTCAACCTCCTGGTAGTTCATAACTCCTCGTAGTTCACTGCACTCAATCAGTATCACTTTGATTTCTCCCGTGACTAACATATTTCGAAGCCTTGTTTCCAGTTCAAAGATGCTCCAACCTCTTCTTACCACGTAACTTGGAGTCATGACGATGATCAGTCGCTTGCTTTGGTCTACACATCTTGCCACATCTTCAATGTAGGCTACAAAACAAAACAATTGCTCAAAAATCAATCTAAGAAAACAGTCTGCTCTCATAAACTGGTGAGAAACAACAGAAGCAAATCCTTGCTCCCCAAAGATCTCACTGAAATATGCAAAAACATCAGCTATAAATGTGCCAGGCTGGCCTGGCAGAACATGATCTTGAGTAACCAGCTCTATGTGGACCTGCTTGAGCAGGGAGGTTGGAAAGATGATCTCCACAGGCCCCTTTCAACCTCAACCATTCTGTGATCCTGCAAAACATCTATTCCCACACATGCTACGGATCGTGAGTGTTTCTTCAAGAGCTGTGGGTTTGTATCATCTCTTTCTCTATTGGAACAAATATGTCCATCGTGATTTTTACCTTTAAAAAGGCAAAGTCACCCAGTTAGACAACAGAGCATCATCCATGTGCTTTAGGACCTCAGTCTCAAACCCAAATAATACTCTAAATTTTTTGGTAGTCTTAGATTCTGTTTTTCCTTCATGCCCCTGCCACACGCATTCATAAAAATTATTATCTCCTGTAAATTAGTGTTTAGTTTGCTGTAGATTTAAAAAATATCCATTAGATTGTTTGATGTTCTATGTTGTTCTTTGTCTATACCAAGTATCCTTCCTTTTATCTTTCATTAAAGGTATTGAACTTGGTCATTGTCTATATGGCTACACTGAAGTCATGAAGCCACTACAACAACTGACAAAATATGACTGCACTTATGTTGGAATATGTGAGAGGATCTACTTGTACTATCTGGAATCAATTCTAGTATACAGTCTCTGAGAATGATCAAGTTCATCCACACACTGGACACTGACAGGATTCACTACTTTTTTTCTGGTATAGAAGTTATTACTCAACCATTGCCTTAGTCTAAATACAGCTTTGTCCTTCCTGTGTGAATTTCTGTAATAAGAATCATGGATATCTTTCCAAATAAAATCTAAGGAACTGAAAACAAAGACCTTCGTATTCATTCCTAGATATGCAAGTTCTCAAAAAATCTGAAAAATGTTAGTCTCTTTCATTTACTTATGCATCCCCTTTTTGCACTGTTTTACCTTCAGTTAAAACAATACAATTACTAAATAATAATCCTCTTATCTGGGAAATGCACATTAAAGTTTGGTGGCTTTTCCTCACCATTCTCTAAGAAATGGGAGAAAAGATGACATTCTGAAGGAGTAGGTGTAGAAAGAAGACTAAAACAATCACTGCAATAGCTCATTTTCTCCTTCACTATTACATGACAATAAAGACATGACTTACTTCCTGTGGGAATCAAATCTCTGTCTGGTATGAACAACTTGTATCCATAATGCTTTTCCAGCATATCTGGTAGAATCTCAAGAGCAAATCTTTCTTCTTCTCCAGTTTCTTGATTCCACTGATCAGGATCCACTTTGGTATAAGACAGATATGCATCATAATCTTTGTTGTCTAAGGAAAGAGGGAAATCAAGTTAGTTTATTCCTTATTCTAGCAGTTTTCCCAGATATTTCCCCAGGTATTATTTCTGGGAGAATTTTCCAGGAAGAATAAATGGTTTAGATAAAATGGCAAGCTTTCACCCAGTCTCCAGATATGCATCCATTCAGCTTTCCTGTTTCACCTGGTAGGGATAATCCTTAGTTACACAGATACAAGGAAGGAGAGCTCCACATCCATAGACAGAAGTCAGTTTATGTAAGAATCTGGATGAAGGAAATCCATTAAACTTCAGAGTGACAGCTCATGAGCACAAAATTCAAAAGCCACTGAGAAGAATTTGCATTCTTCTCTAGCATAAAAGGAGAATGAAGAGCATGGAAATAATTAGGCTACTATGTAAATGTCTCTGCTGCATAGTAAAACCATTTCAGTCTTGCCAGAATTTTACTATAAATTTAGGACTTGAGGCTGAAATGCTCTACATGTACATATAGCATTCCTTGTAAACTCTTTAACTCTCCAGGTCTGAAATTATTGCCAAGCTTAAATCTTTCCAGCTTCAGCTCCTGATAATGCAGTTTAAGTTTCTTGAATTCTGTGTGCTTAAACTTGCAAATTTAATGTTGCATTAATGTGCATTTCATTACTTAACAGTGTGTTACTTCAATATGAGAAATAACCATGCCTGTGTTTTAAATGTGCTTGGTGTGCCTACTTGAAAGACTGAATCAAAAGCGCCACCATTAATTTTCATTAGGAGGTCAATAATGCCAAGTGCTCTGGAACTAATTCAGTGGAATAAGAGGTCACGTTTTGACTTTTGTTGTGAAGAAAGTAGAGAAAAATCAATGACAAGAGTAATGAAATGCTAACATCCTTCTAACTCTCTTGACAACATTATGAACAGACTACCCAGAATATCAATTGCTTATAAAAGAGATCTAACTGAATATTCTAAGTACTGTGTGTCATAAGTAATGTTATATTCAGTCAGTGCTGACTTCATTTTTGTATTGAGAAACTCTTTTCTTCATTTTACACCTTTTTGTAGTCTGGCAGCATTATTTTGAAAAACCTGCCAGCTGTAGGTTGGATGGAAAGAGTGTAAATGAAATTAATGGAGCGGTGCTAATCTTGAGCAGTCCTTTCTCCCTTCTGAGGAACTGTGTGCACTAATGCTAATTAACATTTGCAGATGACAGAACAAATGTGGTTGTATTGTTACTGCTTTTAAACTTTCTAAACCCATGAAGTGGCCATGTGCACATTCTGTGCCCTGCACATCTTCTGTGGGATATTATCTATTGGATAGTTATATCCACAGAAAAAAAACCAAACAAAACAAATTTAAAAAACAAAACAAAACCAAAAAAACAATCCAAAACAACAACAACAAAAAAAAAAAAAAAAAAAAAAAAAAAAAAAAAGGAAAGTAAGTAAAAGAGAAGCACTAACTTTTATAGGTCCCACTTTCCAGGATTTTTTTGGGAGTATTTATGAAAACATGTCCTTTAATAACAGACAAGCACCTCCTGCCTTTGATAGTACCTTAAGACTGATTTGATCAAGCATAATATAGAGGGGCATCCACTGCAGGTGTTTCTGCAGTAAGACAGTGTTTACACAGCAGAAGTGTTAGCACACAGCGGAGTCAACAAGTATATGGGGAAATTATTACAACTGACAAAATGCTGGTGCTGCAATGACATATTCTATTGTCACCTCATTAATGGTCATAGCCATGGTACATGCTTGAGACAAATGCTGCTCTGTTCAAAGGCTTTGAGTAAAGATGAGAATGCAAAATTTCTCAAAGAGATTAATAATAAGAAATAATGCAGAATTCAAACCGTTTTAAAGGCTGAGTGCTGCCTGTTAAGATCCAAATGCATCCTTACTTGGAGGGGATTATTTGTGCTATGACATTGTTTTATTGCATATGCAAATATTGCACTTAGCATTTATTCAAAGTACATATTTGTCATATCATGGAGACTCCAGCATCTCCACTAACTACAGCTGCATCATCCTGTATTGCAGGAAAGATATCTTTCCTCCTAGTTTTATGAGTATTTGTAGGGCAAAGAATAGTTGGGGTCTAGGATATGTCTGCAGAGATGTGTTCGGGCATCAGGCACGGGGAAGCTCTGGATTAGTTCATCACAATGAGGTCAAATGCAGCTTGTGCTCAAGGTGTGATGCATTCAGCCCACAAATGTCTCAGCCAGCCCCAAAGCACTAGTACTTCAAGACTCCAGGCAAAACAGTCTCTGAGTTACAAACTGTCCTACCATTTCAACCATTCTATGGAGTTGGAAAGGAGAAGTTTGTAAGTGAGCAATGGTCATGGAGCTACACTCAGCCACAGGTATAGATAGACCTTAGGGGTAAACTCTGAGGGTCAAATCTCATCTTCATTAATAACACACAGAAGGATTACTTCACTTAGTGGCACAGGTTTCTAGGCAAAGCACCTGTTGCATCATTGGAACATGCAATTTTTAATCCTGCCCATTCCTAGTGGTACTCATTTAAATGCAGAGTGCGCTGTCATACTCCCTGTAACTTTCTACAATGTTAATCCAACAGAAGTGATATAAATTTTTAGGGGATGAAGCTGTAAATGCTTCCAAGGATGTGCTCAGCAGCAGTCACTTAAAGGCTCAGTGTAAGCATAAAATGAAACCCAGACTCTATATGCATCTACTTTTTCACATGCAAATGGGATCTTTGGGTAAGTAAATTGCTATCAGACATATAAGAACTCATCTGTATGCATGCTCTCTTAACAGCTACACATGAAGAAATGATAAGGTGGTGCCTACAGAAAGAAAGATAAAGCTTCCTCTTCCACAGGTACCATGAAATATATTTAACATCAAATTTGCATTATAGATGTATGTGTTTTCTAATGATTTACATGTTACACTGCAAGAAGTCAGCAGTTTGGGCCTTTGAGGGTTTATGAAACACTGAAAATATTTCTGCTAATGGGGGACAGAAAAATCATCATGAAAAATTAAAAAACAGCCAAAAAACTTTCTAGAGTAATTTTTATTTTCTTATCAGCCATATTCAAGCCAGTGATATATTCTGACTTTTAGCTGGTATTTTACATTTTAGCACAGAACAGATTAAGAGATTAGCTCATGGTTACCTTCACAAGGAGAAATCCCACAATGTTGTATTTCATAATGAACCTTATTTCAATGAAGCTCTAAGACCTAGATGATGAAGTCAGCTCATGTGTCTGTGCATCCTGAAATTCTCAGAGCAATTTGCAGTGCTTTCAGAAACATTCAGTGCAGTGGAGGCAGCTGACCATGCACAGGCTGCTCCACAGCTCGGTGTAGCCAGCAAGGCTGGGCAAATCTTCCATTTCCAGATCAGCAGGGAACTGCACAGCTGACTCCTCTCCTTCGGCAGAGCACGTGCTCTCCTCTTAAATACTCAGATATTCATACAGGAGTTAGGAGAAATGCACTGATTTAACTGAGTATTTCAGGATTTCAAGGGGAGCTTTGGAAATTAGAGATTGGGTCCTTCCAAATGCTGCAGGGAGCTGGAATCAAACTGATACAGGAAACTTTTGTCTTAAAAAAAACATGTTATGTTCAGGAAAGGTTACAAAGAACCTTTCAAAATTTCTCTGAGACTGTAGCTGCTTTAAAATTATGGCATTTCTTAATCTGTATTTGCTTCACTATCTTGGGTGCTACATTTAATATATACATTGGGATAGTGGTTATCCTTAATATAATGAAAAAAATGTCATTTAATGCTGAGTTGAATAAACCACTCAAATCCTAGGTCTTTCAAAATACTTATACTTTTCCTCACACTATTTACTGTTGCTGATGCAACATTTTCTATTATTTTTAAATGTCAAACCCTTTTAATGTTAATAAAAATTAAGAGCTTCCCACACAATTTTTTCCATGGCATGGTATATTTTAAATGTAGCATTCCTCATGATAGTTCATATTCTTGTGCAAGTGAGTGATGTTGAATTGCATGGGAGTCTCTTTCTAGTTTCCATCTGAACTTTTTAACCTATAACAATCTCTTAGTTTGAAATCCAAAGATGATCTTGGTAATATTTTATTTTTAAAGATACATATATAACATAAATTACACATGCACTTTAGATGCTGTGAAATAGGAAGAGAGAAATAAGAAGGAATTTTTCTTTGAATTAGGACATTTCGTGTACAGAATCTAGAAAATCCCATATTTAGTGGAGACATAAATTGAGTTTTTATTGTTTGAATTGCATTTCATATGTAAATAAACAGCATAAACAAGAAGAGTTAAAAGAAACAGTTTTCCAGCAATAAAATTTTAATTAAATAAGAGAAAAATCCCTTTTTGTAACCAGTAATGTTTAGAAAGAAGAGAGCTGCATTTTTCTAAGGTGATTTTAATAGAATTTTAAATTGATATTCATAGAGAAGGATTTCTTATCGTCACAATTTGCCAATAGCCAATAAGAATATATAAACGAGTGGTGAGACTGCTACTGCAAACTTATTTTGTGCGTCCCCAGGGAAGGTTCAGTAATTGCAAAGTCACTAACTTCAGCAGTAATTTCAGTCTAGCTATACCTGCATAGCATAATCATTAACACAAGTGCTTAGGTGGTTCTTAAACCAATGGTAAAATTTATATTTAAAAGTTAATAACTTAGTCACACAGAAACCTGAAGAATCTTAAAGCCCTGGTATTTCTCACTGCTTAAGAGTTTCCCTGGGATGAAACCCAGGAAATCACTAAGTATTTCTTACCTGCTCTTGTCCTGGACAGTTAATAAGATATTATCTGGGCATTCCCCTAGGTTCCTCCATGAACCCTGCTAGTCTTTTGCAGCTAAATAATAGCAAGAACAAAATCATGATTACATAAGGACTCCCAGGTGCAACAGGAACTACAAGGAAGAACCAGTTTCATCAGTCTCCTAATTTGAGCATTGATTTGCTTTCCCTCAGCAAGAAGCAGAAATTCATCTCTCATGAAAGAGCAAACAGCCTAGGCAAGAAACATTACAGATGTCATGTACCAAATCCAAACAAGATTTCCAGAACTGAGAGAGCTCAGCAGCGGTACGCTTTAATCTTATGAGATTTATTTCTTTATTTCCTTATTTCAACAATGTGGTGGAAAGCAAACAAACACACAAACAAACAAGCAGCCACTTTCCCTCTTCCAGAACTGAAACCCCCCAGGCCTGGGCCCAGTGGCCTTCCCTGTGCAGAGCTGCACAGAGGCCGTGGCTTCCTTAAATTCAACAAGGTTTCCTTGGCAAAGAAAGCTGAGAAGATTGAGGACACCACAATGAGCCCCTGCCCATTATTTTAGAAACAGCTGATGGAACCTAAAGGCACCAAGGGTCATTATGAAGGTTATAATTTCAGCTCTTAAATAAAACTCCCACTTTATAGCTATCAGATGCCTACAGCCTTTTTTTCTTGAGCCTAAAGCTTGACTTCTTGTCTTTACAACAATTTTAGTCAGGTTTTGTCTTCAATTACTACTTGTTTTTTGTCAGCCTCCTAGTGAAAAATGTCTTTTCTCTTTCATTTTTTTTCAAGATTGTGTTCACCTTTGCTTATTAATTCCTTGATAAAAAATTGCCACAAATTTAAAAGGTTAAAAATCTACCCAGGTACTGGAAGCAGCAGATACCTGCAAACTGTTTCTACTATTAGCTGTACCATATGGTCTTGCCTCTGAAACTAGAATCTAAAACAAAAACATATGTACAAGTTTTTGAGTATGTTTGCCTATCTGACCATGCCCAATGGTTTTTAACCTGCCACCCATAGACTTCTAGGTTTATCCATAATGTAAATTAAAAATAGCATACAGTTATTCACATATGCACTGGAANAAAAAAAAAAAAAAAAAAAAAAAAAAAAAAAAAAAAAAAAAAAAAAAAAAAAAAAAAAAAAAAAAAAAAAAAAAAAGTCAAAGCCAGCTATTTTGGTGACTTTGAACTTCCTATCCACTCTGAAGCAGGTTGATAACTGCACTACTGAGAGAAGTGACTCCTCTCCACCCTCACCGTGGCTGATTTGGCTCTCATTCATGCCTGGGGACTGATCCTTGCACATCTTGATGAGCAGGAAAAGTAAAAGAAGAAAGTTGTCCCAGGTAAAACAGTGGGAAAATTTCCACTTATTTTAGGGTGCCTGAAAGTCAGCTTATATCTAGATAAAGAGCAGGTTTCTATACAGTAATAACATCTCTTTTGATGCAATTGGCTTTTAAGGTCACAGAGTGCAAGCTAGAAAGAAGACAGGGCATGTGTTGATCGCAGGTACTTGTAAATGGTTATTTACATTTTCACTCTGTCAGTTAAAGTACAATACTTATTTTCATAAAGTAATTTAAGAACTGGGAACAGCAAGAGAAGTTCCTTGGAAAGTAAAAAATACACAAAAAGCCACTGCTAAAAAGCTACAGAAAATGAACATGGTATAAAATGTCTTTTGTTGGAGCTCAATGTACAACAAAACAGAAGAAATCATCACTTCTAAAAGTGGCTTTCAATAATATCATTTTAGTCCCTAAAGTGTGCTTTATGGACAAGGTTTTTAAAAATAAGCTTTTAAGTTTAAAGCTGCAATGATAAAAAGGTTACTTGACATTTGACAAAGATTAGCCCTCAGAAGTCCCCAGTGAAGTATCTATTTCTGAAAATGTTGTTTTTCCAGAACAGTCGGGACATTTCTTTATTTACATTGCACTTCAAGCTATCATCTTTACTGCGTATGCAGAGAGATCTTGAGCTGGATTTTTCCTCTTAAACAGATTTGGGAGTTTCTGGCCACCAAACCGGTAGTGGTGAGTTATGGCTCAGAGATGCAAGGTCATGCCAAACACCTGCAGGTAACAAAAGTTTCTCCTTTGCCAAAGGTCAGAGTATTTCTCTTGTCCCTGTGCTCCAGTGACTAGGGGAGCAGTCAGACATTCACAGTGATGTCCCTGACTGGACAGGGGCACCCTGTGCTCCTCTGCACTGAGGGACAGGTTGTGGTGTCCATCACACCATCCCCTGGTGTGGAGCCAGCTCCCATGCAGTTGGAAAGCACAGGCATGGAGAGAGAGGAGAAACAGCAATATTATTGTATCCCAAATTAGTAGGAAAGGCAGGGAATCAACCACAAAAACATAAAAGGGGGCTTCAATTCCCATTCCCAGGACTAAGCTGCAGTGCCTGCAGGAGAGAGAAAAACAGGAGAGAATCTTGTCCTTAGGCTGAGAAAAAAACACTGGGATATTCAACAGTGTAAGTTAGAGAAGTGAGGAATCTACAGCTGTGACCACTTCTTTAATCTGCAGTATCCCTACAGAAAGTAATAAACTGAGTTGCATTAGCTGTAAGGGTTAAATACTTTGTTTTCAAATCTCACAATTTACCTATGCCTCCCACAAAAATGCGTATGTTAGCTAGCCTCAGAAAAACCAATGTGTCTAAGGCTTGGAAAGGAAAAAGGAATTGTTATGAGATTTGACATCCTGAAGGGCTTGTTCTCTGATCATGGAAGAAATGAAGCATTGAATTTTAAAAGAGATTTTCAACTGAAAATTTTAATTGGACCTCACCTTTAAAGTGTTTGAAATCCTCTCTGGGTACAATGCAGTGCACATAAAAAAAGACTGTGATATTTTGATGTTTGCTTATCTCCATGCTGTCCTGAAGTATGACAGAACATGGTGTAAATTATGAATAGAACGTGGGCGCTCTGCTGCTGCACTGCAGGAGATGTGGTTAGAATAGGATTTTGGAGTTCAGCATTTTGTGCCTGTCAATAACAAACTAAGCCAAAGGAAGGGATCTCGGTGTATATCTGCAATTTATTTCTGCACAAGGCATGTCTTAGGCTTCTGTGGAACATTTTTTCTCCATCTTCCTTCTTTTGCACGAGTGTAAGTGAAAGAGACAGAGTGAAATGTGCAGCTGCAGTCTCTTCATTAACACAATGGGTTTTCTCCATGTTGTCAGCATACTGAACACAGTAGCAGCTACATGTTTTCATTAGGAATTTGTAAGTAGTATTTTTCTTTTTATATTGCTGTGGTTAAGCATTCAAGCTATCAGTGTTTACCCTGGTCTTCTAAGGAAAATCCATGCTTGACCTTCTTTAACAATGACCTTTGCTCAGAAGGATAAACTGAATGGATATTGGCTTTCCTCCTTTTGAATCACAGAACAGCATCCTTTGGAGGTAACTTTTTTTTATGCTTAAAATCCATTATTCAAGTATTGCTGTTCCCAACCAACCAATGTTTGGGATGGGACAAGAGAGAAAGGCAAGGGTACAACACCTGGCAGAGTGAGTCCTCAAATGAATTGGAAATACTTGAGATAATGATAAATAACAACTATAAAAGCAAGAATTACTGATACTAAGGGAGGAAATAATAAATTACACCTATTTAAACAGTTATTGTTTATTTCTGCATATTCTAATATGACTATTATTAAATCCACATAATTTATGGAAGTAAGCATGCCCATTTAAAATAGCAGCTGCTTTGTGGATAGGAGAGGATCTTATCTTCTGTAAAAAAAGGTGTCTGCCAAAATCCTCCATGACTCACAGTCCCTCTGGGCCTCAGTTTCCTCCTTGGTAAAATAAATAAAACATCCCAACTTTTTTCCTCACTGAGCTCCTACATTAATGCATCTTTTTGTAAATCCCGTAGAAGGTTACAAAATGTTCTGGTGTTTGGCTTGTTGCTCTGAAAGAGCATTTTCTATTTTCAATCTTTGTGCATTTTTAGATGGGAGGCAGAAATGGGTCATTCCCTAGTGATTTTATTATGGAAGTCTTATGTAAGGACTGTAATTCTGCAACTGCTCTTTTCCTTATCAGTGACAGATTTAGCCATCACTTGTTTATCAGTACATATTTATTTTAATATATCACAGTGTCTTCTGCCTACAGGCTGTTATCTTGACCTGTAAAAAAACCTTTTATTAGTATTTCTGTAGGAAAAAAGGTCCTGTCACCAAAGACATAGTAGTAGCTCAAAACATCAGAAACTCTGACCCAAGAAAGCAAATCTAATTAATCAGAGCCTGCAGCTTAACCCAGTTTGCTGTTCAACAACAATTTTGATTAGTAAGGCTAGAGGCAAAGATGACCTTTTCCTTCAGTCCTTAAAAAGGTAAAATGAAAATGCGTGTATATGTTTGACAGAGCTAGTGCATATATTGTGGATTACTTTTGTTTAGGCTGGATGTCCTTGAATCACAGAATAACTTTAATGACCATTTACAGCCTGCTCAGTGATTAAGTAAATTAACTCAAGCAAAGGAATACTGGGTACATTCCCAAACACTCAGTGCAGTTTATTGAAACTGATCAGTTTAAACAAGCAGTAAATTGAGATACACTTCAACCTCTACCTATCTGTTGAATACAATTAGGGAAAACACCCCCTTGCTCAGTACTGACAGAAAGTGAAAATCTTTAATGTACAGATGTTGGCAATTTACATTCAGTGTTGGGAGTAAAAATCTACAAGACATGGATGTCTTCTGGAGCTCCAGAGAACAGCACATACATCAGCTCAGCAGTGACTGTGCTTATGTGCTGTATGAAAAATGCATATTCAAGTCAGTACCTAAAATTGCAGTTGTTACCACATCTTGAACTGAAATGAAATTTGGGCCTTGGTTGAGAGAAATAAAAGAGATATTCTTAGAAAGCAGGAAATGTGCTAAGAATCTGCCTTACCTCCATCTAGTTCTTCAGCTCCAAAATGATTTCTGTAGAAGAGCATAATCTCTATCTTGTAACACTTGTAGATAGTCACTAAACAAACAAGCAGCAGCAGAATAGCACCAAGCCCACCAGCAAGCTCAACTGTGTACATCAGCTCTGCAAAGAATTACAAAACGCAGTAACAACCACATTCCAAACCACAGAAAGATTAGCAGCAGACCTTGAATTTCTGTCAAACATTAAAATAAAATAATGAGTGATGAGTTATTTATGTATTTATTTCATTATAAAGCCCTTGAATGAATACCTAGTTGATGAGGGTTTTATTCTTCAATAAGCTGTTTTTTCCCCTCTAATACACCATATGAATTGCTCATTTAAAAAATAAATTTTGCTGGGGATGTGTGTGTGTGTGTGTGTGTGTATGTGTGTGTGTGTTTGTCTATGAGTATGTGCATATATTTTGTAATTCTCTTACTTTTTTGTTTCTGCAGATAGATCACAATTTGCTTTACCTAGATCAATGTTGCCATTTGATTTAGAGCGAAATCAAAAGTGAATGTTTCCTTTTTGAGGACTATAATGCGAAATCAGCTCTTCCCTTATTCCATATACAAACAGGATGTGGGCAAACTGGACTAGATTAAGGATTTTTTTTCCAAAATAAAATTAAAAATAAAAATAATTTTAAAACCACACAAAGCATTTGAGGGATGTGAAGACACATCATCCAAGGAGACCTACAACCTCACATCTCAGTTATGTTAATATTTTTAACAGTTTCCCAGAGGTCTGCATTTTATTCTCATTTTTCCCCCAATGGGCTTAGCTAATGCATAGACACAGCAAACAGTCCTGGTTTGTCTGTTATGACATTCCCATTCAGATCTCCTGGTGTCTCTGCTGCTGGATGGTTTGGGATCATCACCATGGAGCTCTGTTCCTGAGGACAGGGACTGGTCAGTTGTGGCCACCACAAGTGTCCAGCAGCAGAGCCACTTCTCAGGCCAAAGACAGTGTGCCACCATGGACTTTTGCCTCCCCCAGTCTGAAGGAAGCTCACAGAGCTTTGCTGCTTTTCATTTGCTCATTGACTGAAAACTGATAGAATCAAAAAAGGAGGGTAGGAGGAGAGTTGCTAACAAATCTGTAATTTGAAATCACTAGATGGCAAGTCTTCCATGCTTTTCCAAATCACTCAGTTTTGAGGAATGATAAAACACCAGATCTTGGAAATCTAAGATACAGGGTTTGCTTCATGAAAGATCTGTGCTGGAACAAGTATTTTCACAGTGTCCTCTTCAGCTGTGCAGCTTATGTCTGAGCGAAGTAGTGTGGACCTGGAGTAACCTTTTTTTGTGTGTGGTTGTGCAGATTTAATAATCCAGCACAATACAATTCAATTAGAGAAATAAAAGGTTAGAGGAAAAATTGAAAATTGCATTTATTTGACAGCGTCTACTGAGAATCACACACCTTATTTTTATTATTATGAGGCAACTGTAAGAAGATTTCATTGCTCTCTAGAAGACACTAAAAGTGTGTAATAAAATAAAATAAAAAGGCATTTATATTCCATGTCATTCTTTCCAACACTGTGTTGGAAACTTTTTTGTATTAGATATTTTTAAGACTGACATGGTTATTTCAAACTCCCAATTCTTTTCTGGTAAAGAGAGGGAAATGTTATTAAAAACATTCGATAAAATATGGTTTGCATAGGCAAAAAATGCAGTATTTTAAAATATAAATGGCAATGGAAATTGCACTGGCTTACTATACCCTGTTTATCATTTTGTAATACAGGTGATGCAGCTGTTCAATGGTAACTATAAGAAAGGCTTTAATATTTTGGGTTGCTAGGCACAAAGTACTCTATTTATGTGCCTGCTGTTATGACTCACTAAAGTCAAAGAAAAACTTTACAACTGGAAAAGTGAAGTTTTTTCTCAACTAATGATTTTTATATGAAATGAAAAGAAATAACTGCATGTATTCATTTGTTTTCTGTCATTGTGCAGGAAATCAGACTAATACACTACATCACTTTTGCCATCAGAGTCTCTCTTAGTTATATGTTTCCCCATAAAGTAAGATTATGCCTTTATGTTTGCTTCAGTAAAATCTATCTGAAAGCACATGAAAGTGTCCTTAATTAGGCCATCAAAGCAAACAACAAAATTCTCTAGCCAGCCTGAAACATATAAGCAATTACCTTTTCATGTGTTGCTGCTGAGCCATCGTGGTGGTACACAGATAAAGTGGCTCTTTCTTAAACAGATTTGTTTGCAAAGGAAGTTTCACGGTCTATTGATCGAACAGAGCCAGCTTGTACTTTCCTCTGTGCTGGACAGCCTCTACCAGCACACGTTCACTCTGTGTTTTGGGTGCAGCTTGTCAGGGGTCAGAGGCACTGAGGGGCAGTGATTAGCCCTGCTGCATCCCTACACCCGGCCCACGAGTGCCTGAGCTCGCCCCAAAGTGCTGGAAGTGGGAAGAGCTGGAAATGGAGCAGCCACACCCGTGCAGCACCATGGAAGGCAGGGGATTGGCCTGGGCACACGGGCAGCAGGCTGATTGTTTTCAGGCCTTGAGTTTGTTTTTCTGCAGGACGCTGAACTGCGCCCTGAAAGGCCACTGCCCGGCTCTGAGATTCCTTAGGGGCTTTAGGAACTGTGTTTCTCTGTATTGAGCTGAACTGAAGGGGCAAGAAGCAGAAGGCTCAGTCAGCCCTGCCTCTGCTGTTGGTCCCTCAGGTGACTGAAGCCATTTCACATTTCTGTGCCTCGGTTTTCCCAATGTGAACTGGGGAAGGTGCTCTGGCTCCTCCCTATCAGAGCTTACTTCTGAAAAAGTGTGAGTACCAAGGGTACTGCTGATGTGTCTGTCAGGTTTCAACAGTGACTGTTAAAGACAAGTTAAAGAGTAGCAGCAAGGCTGCAGCTCATGGCTACCTTCACAATAACACTTTTTTCTGCTGCTTTATTCTGCCTTTTACAGTGTGATTTGAGCACAGTCGCTGCAGCAGGCATTACACTCACTTTGAAGTGCGATCTATTTTTCCTGCTGAAACTCAAGTTTCCTGTAGTGACTACACTCTAAAAAGATTCCGTTTCATCACAATTCCACATGAGAAGAAAGATATGAGAAGTGCAAACCTTTTAAAATCTATTTGGCCCCAGTGTTGTGTTGCTCAAATTACAGACCCTCCTTAAGGAGCTGAGACTGAATGCAGAAAATAGTAGAGGAAAATTACTCGGCCAACCCTTAGGGCGACAGGCATTCTCTTAAACACAGCAAACGAGCAAGTGCCAGAGAGTTACATCCACAGCACAGCAATCATTTAGTTACAGGCAATTAACAATAGTCTTCCAGTAGCTCAGGAGTAGTTCTACTCCAAGGAAAACACATTGATTGCTGCAGCAATAGTAGATTGGTTTCTGAATAAATAGCTTCAATTTAAAACAAGATTTGTTACAAGCATTTTGACCAATGGCTACAATTTTTTTCCTTATCAGGAGGCTTTGGACAAGCAACTCAGTGAAAGAGACAGCTAATTAAAACAAAGCACGTGTCCTCTCCATATATCAACCATATATGGCTTGTAATAAATGCACTCATTTTATACCTTTTCTTTCCTAATTATTGGACACATTTGTAGGTTGTATATTTGATCTTCACCTGGATCTAATATTTGATAAACTTCCTTTCACTGTGTCATACAGGTAATTCACTTATCATAACTGAAGTTGTAAGAAGAAAATAAATAAAAGTGTTCTGTCAAAGATTCATATCTTTTGACATATCACATGCTTCAGGAGCTTTACTTTTAATGATATGTAAAAATTTAAAATTAATTTTATTCACTAATTAGCTTTCATACATCTGAACTGCTTATAAAAAGAATTATATTTCAAACATCCCTTTTTTATTTTTGCGATTTATAACACTCTGAGCACATGTGATTTATAGCTGCGTATTCAGTTTCTGAACCTTTTTCAAAATCCAATTACAGTCTATCTAAGGTTTCAATTTTGCAATCACTTACGCAGATTGGCCAACTTCATTGACTATAAGTAATCCCTCTGAAGTCAACAGGACTATTCACAGAGCTTCAGGTTAGCACACAAATAAATCTTTGCAACTCTGTGGCCTAAACTGATTTTCATTGTCTGCTTGTCTTGGATAATTTAACTCACAAAGAGACAGGGTTTTGTTAGAGGCAGTTCTCAGTTTGGTTAGGTATATTATCACAGACTGCAATTATTAAAGGAACCATAAGGATAATAAATATAATTTGGAAGGGGAGCAGGGGCTGCTGTGTTATAACATGCAAGTTTGGTTATGAATGAGTGTGTTTCTTCTAAAGGAAGAATAAAACTGGCTAACACAGGAACACTTGTCTGAGTCTCATTTCAGAGATCAGCCCTAAGCAGTAGGCAGAGTTTAAGCTAGCAACAAAGAAACCCATACTCACGGTTCTAAAATGAAGAAGCATGATTATTACAGTATTTCTTATGGCATAGCCATATAACAAATTATCTTCCCAAAGTATGTGGAACCCCAGCTTTATACAGCATACACATATCCAATACATGTATGTGTAAAATCTATTCTCTACCTTTTAGGACTTTTGTTTGCTTGCTTCAGACTGCAACACAAAATCTGGTTGTGCTAAAGGTACCTAGATGCATATGTGTGAATATCCTATATGGATATCTTATATGGATACTGTTATGAATAATTACTGATTGATTCTGTAGGACAATAGTACTTCTGATAACAGTAGAAGCAGATTTGGGCTACTCATTAGCTTGATTATGAAATAATTTATTTGACCAAAGTATATGTTTTCTGCCAGCATGGGCCACTCATGCCTGTGGATTTCTGCAGAACTGACTGAAACTGCCTGAATTTAGTTATAGTTTTCAGTGCAGTAATTTCATTTTATTTATTAGAACTACTTTCTTTATTTTTTATAACAATAAATAATACATGTTCCTGATTCCCTTATGAAAAAGAACTAGTCAGGTTTGGGATTATATATACATAAGCATATATGTGTGCAAATGCAACACAGGGATCTTGTTAATTTATTCATTAGTATGGGAGAAAACATATCTGAGCCTTGGTGCTGTTGGATTTCCAGTGTTTTT